GTCCCGGCGAAGGAGGGGGCGGAGACTACGGCTTCCGCAAGGAGCGCGCCGCGCTGGAGGAGCTGCGGGGTCACCGCAACATTGGTGAGGGGGTCGGGGAGGAGGAGGTCCGGCTACGGAGAGGGAAGGGAAGGGGCGCTCCGGGTCTCTTGCCCGCAGGGCATCGCCAAGAAGGCGACAGAGCCGCCCTCTGAGTTGGCCGGGGAGGCAGAGCCTCGGCAGCCGATTACGCTGCCTCTTTTTCTGCGGCTCCACCATCACTGCCCTGCCTCCCTCCCCTCCTAGCTATTACCACACACACACACCTTTTTTTCCCCTTCCACCTCCCCTGGGGCACCTCAGACCCATATTGTGCTTTCCTCGCTTCCGCCTTGCCCCTTCCTCTTGTCCTACCCTAGGACAGGAGCTGCTTTGGACCACCACTCTCCTAAAGCGGATACAACTGGGCTCTCCCTGAAGTGGGATATGCAGCTTATGCCAGCCACATACAGTAGTCACACCACACTGCCCATTTTAGAGGTTTTCCTAGCTTCTTGGACTCATTCATCATCCCATTCGCTAAATGAGAATTTCATTTGTCAATTTGATAGTTTTTGTTCTATCAAATCAATCACCAGCACAGTAACCAGAACCAAATCCTAAATACCCGGACCAGCCGCCGGTAAATTTTACAAGAAAAGTGCTAACAGAGTGTGGTCCCTGTACTGGTTCCATGTGTTTCCAACCCCTGTTTGTACACTCATTCTGTTTAGTGAGGTGTGGAGATGGCAGCTAAATGCTTCAAGCATAACTTTCAAGGAAGGGATGTCTCAAGCAGTGCAATTCTATAATTAAATTGTGTAGCATTGAAGCTAGTCCTTTTCTTGGTTACCAGCCACCAGAAACTTCCTCTTGATATCTTTTGGTGGCACTTTCTCTACAAGGAACAAACTCATATTCAGTTCTGAGACTTGAGATGGAAGCATCACCTGTCATTTGTAGACATCAGCCACACCTGATGGGATTCATGCTGTTCTAGAATGCATCCATCCTACAAATATAAATACTTCCCAAAAAATGCACAACTGGCAATCATACTCAAGTCCAATATCCATTTATGGAATCTGCACTTACTCTTTTGATCATCAATATTTGTTACTCATTATCTCCAGAGTCACAGTAGAGGTGTCAGGAGTAGTCATGTGTGCAGGTGTGTCTGAAGATGTGATTCAGTGCATATGATCTCTGCAAGGCATGTGGTAATGGATACTTTACAACCTACTGGTCCTTAACAACCTACTTCGTGGACCAGAAATTGCTGCATCAGCAGTACTGGTGCAGTCTGCAGGAGGAAAGGATACCCAAAGGTTATAAAGTGTGATACTTGGGATAGATTGTATAACTGATAGATTAGTTTTTCTTTTATTAAAAACCTGAGCTAGAAACAAATAGTATAGTTCTCCAGGAACCCTCATCAACAACATTTGCATCTTAGTTGGATTCACAGGGTTATTGTCAAAGTCAGTATCGAAGTATATACCATTTGCTGGCTGCTTATTAATCTTTTGCAAGTTGCACACTACTTGATGGCTTTCTGTTTAATACAGAATCTCAGGGTAAAACGGATTATGTGAATTGATGGTGCAGATGATAAATCAGCTGCCATCATATGAGACATGGTCATCTTCATCTGCAAACAGAACAGGGTGATAGTGATTAGCAGTGGAAGCATTAGACAACCAGTTTTAAACAACAAAAGCAAAATATGCTGCTTATATACTGCCCCATAGCACTTAAAGCACTCTGGACAGTTTACAATTATGCAGGCCTTCCCTCCAGCAAGCTGGATACTCCGTTTAGCAACCTGAGAAGGATGGAAGGTTGAGTTAACCTTGAGCTGGCTATCTGAGCCCATCAGAATCAAATTCAAGTCCTGAGCAGAGTCTTGACTGCAATACTATGGTTCAGTCACTGCACCACACAGCATATGTAGATGATTCAGAGAGTGCGAACACAGTGATTCCTCTGTGGAATATGCTATGTCTTGGTGTGGACTTCCTTGCAGTGATAATCGCTAGCTAGGAGTAGAGAACAGCTTCCACAGGTTGCTGGTTACACGCCATGTAACTCCTGCCAATATTTGTGGATATGTTTCACTTGTAGTGACCCTCTATGGTGTGTTCACCAAGTGTTCTTCAGCCAAAGGCCCATCGTACTGCCTTCTATTAGAATTACTAGATGTCAGTGTGTCGGAACTGCTTGTGCATTCCAGTCAGCATGGCTGCTCCATGTGGATCACTCAGCACTGTGCCCGCGACATCCTGGAAGCCCTGGCATTCCTCCACCACAAAGGCTATGTGCATGCAGATCTGAAGCCTCGCAACATCCTGTGGAGTGCAGAGGAGGAGTGTTTTAAGCTCATTGACTTTGGGCTCAGCTTTAAGGAAGGGAATCAGGTTGGTTGAGCTACAGTAAAACTTTTCTGGCAATATTTGTTGAACTCTTCTGACAGTAAAGGCAAGATATCTTGCAGAAAAAGAGCCTGAGTGTTGTCCTGATTGTTGAACATATCTGCCATTTCCTAGTTTGCATTTCCCAGGATTTCTTTCCGTGAACTTCTGTTCATCCCATGGATGAGGTTAATATCGCCCCATGTATCATTCCATAGAGGGGAAGAGGTTTTTTATTTTTCATTTTAGAAAGTTAGATTGCTGCTTGTAATGCATGGTTTCTTCCAGTTTTAAAAAAGGTTTGTGGCAGTTTATTTTTTTAAAGTTTGCAAACATTGTTGAATGAAAGAAATAAAAGTGTTCTCAGAAAATTGGCAAGTTTGTCAGCATTTCTTAACTGCCTATATCTCTGAAGCTGTTCACAAGTCATTGTCTAGATGAAGGAAATTTTCATTCTCCTTGTGTATATGTGTGTGTGTCCATGTACATAAATCCACACATACTTTCATTAAATGTTTCTCTAATGCTTGATAGAAAGAAACAAGTAACTTAAATGGATCTTTTGAGAGTGTTGACCATAATGATTGCCATGTTTTGTGTTACATCTAGTGTGCAAAAAACATGAAATCATTCCTGCTTACTCTCATTCCACTCATGGTGGTTAAATCATTGGTCATCTCATTGTATAGGTAGTGAACTGGGCTGGTTTCCTTATTGGCATATCCCGCAACTCCATGGCTAGTAAAGTTAGTTTAAATCTTACAGTTCTGTTCACCAAACCATTAGAGCACTAAAATTGAAATGAAAGCTTTGGACATTCATTTTTGCTCTTGTTCTTGAGTAGAATGATGAATAATCAGGTCTGAAATGTGATGAGTAAAGAGAAAGTAGCAACAGTTTTAAACTTCTCAACATGTGATCTCTGCTTGCAACCCCTTGCTGGTTGCTCCTGTTAGGATAGATGCCTCACCTGCCATTTCAGAGTTAAGCATGGCCCACTCAGACTGGGGGCTACCCCTTACTGATAAGTCTGCAAGGTTTTTGCCTAAAAACAGGCTCTCCGTAAGTTGTCATCAGATGAACTGTCCTGTAATCAGTGGTCTTGAGGACAACCATCTCTGTTCCCTTTACAGAAAGCTTCACATGTTTCTTGCAGTCCACCATATTTTAATGAAAAATTAACTTGAAAATTTCCATGAATTAATTTTGAAATCTTTGTTGGGGTGTTAGGTCAGTAGCAAGCAAACTCTCTTTTTTGGATCCTCTTAAACGTTATAAATGTAAACAGTATTTCTGTGTAAGTACTGGAACAGTAGAGGGGGGAATAATACTTGTAGGTTTGTTTGTGGTGAGTAGAAGAAAGTAATGCATTTTTATACTATCTTTTGCTATTTGTAAAGCAGCTTAATAGACAGTGGGAAGCAAACCAGATAGTGAGTCAAAAGGCAACATGAAACTACAATTTTAAAAAAGCTCTTGATGCGCCATAGGATGTGAAGTACATTCAGACTGACGGATACCGGGCTCCTGAGGCTGAGCTGCAGAACTATCTATCTAAGGCTGGACTACAAAGTGAGACTGAATGTACATCTGCTGTAGATCTTTGGAGTCTTGGAATAGTATTACTGGAAATGTTCTCAGGAGTGAAACTGAAGTATATTGTCCAATCTCAGGAATGGAGGGTAAGTAGCTTTATAGTAACTTTGCAGAGAAATCATTTACTTTGAAGATTTAATCTGATATCTTCAGGTTTTTGTGGTTGTGCAGGAACTCTTGAACCCTTGTTTAAGAAAGGCAGAATCTTATATAGTCTGAATTCTTGTTTTTGGATTAAATTTTAAAACTGTCATCCTCAGAAGGAAGTGTCCTTATACATGGTCAGCTTGCTAGTCTTATCTTGGTACATCAGAATGGCAGGAAAACTCTAGGAATTTGGACAGAAATCTTTGCTAGCCCTAACTGGGAAATTTCTAGGATTTATCCTGGACATTTTGCATGCAAAGCAAGCATTCTAAGTTGTTTAGCTGTATGAAAGTCATTTCCTTTGGTCTTTCTTTCTTTCTTTCTTTCTTTCTTTCTTTCTCTTCCTTCCTTCCTTCCTTCCTTCCTTCCTTCCTTCCTTCCATCCCTCCCTCCCTCCCAATCTGGTTACAGTAGCAGCTTGTTGATGTCAGCCTTCCTTCAAATGCCAACAAAGTCATAGGCTTGGAAAGTAGCAGAGAATGATCTGTTCTACACCTTTCCTGAAGTAGAATCCTCTACTCACTAGTCCACAAAACCCAGACAACTAGGCACTGTTTTGTAAGTGGGAAGCTATGGCACCACTGCCCGAGAGCAAAAAGGGGCAATCTGCACTATGTTGGGCTGCCTATAGAACAAGTTGTGCCAGATGTTCTAAGTCAGTGGTTCCCAGCCTTGAGTTCCCAGATGTTATTGGACTACAGATCCCAGAAATGGTGGCCAGCACAGCTACTAAGAAAGGCTTCTGGGAGTTTTCATCCAAGAACATCTGGGGAATCCCTATTCCAAAGGAAATGAGCTGTTTGTTTCCTTTAGAAAGTAGGGAGGAACAAGAACTGAACTCAATAGGGTTGTTACCTAATTTACCATGTGTTTTAGAAATCAAGCATAAAGCAAATCTCACTTGTTCTTCCCACTCTGAAAGTCCAAGATATTTCACTATATGTTGTTATGTTGGCTAAATTGGAGGTTTACACACTGAAAGGGAATAGTGTAGGTGGCTGAAGAAAATGGAGGTTCAGCAGCTGATACATGGGCTGATTTTAGGATTTAATAAAATAATATACTGTTTCATTTTAAATAGGAATTTGTATTGTTGGACAACTTGAATGTTACTCTTAACTGGAGGTCCTGTGGACTGACAGTAGTAACCAGTTGTGCAGAAGTGTGATGAATCCCTGTATGGTCTAGTTGCTAGAAGTAAAAGCAAGTTTTTCTTATAAGAGTTTTCCTCATTTTCCTTTATTCCCTTCCTTTCCCCTCTTTCTTCCTTTCTAGGCAAATAATTCCGCCATTATTGATCACATTTTTGCCAGCAAAAGTGTGGTAAATTCTGCCATCCCGGCCTATCACCTCAGAGATCTCCTCAAAAGGTATGCTTGTCCCTTTTGGTTTGAAGGAAGAATATTTTATTTTAAAAAAATCTTCTAGAAAATGTTGTACTGTAGCTTTAAGTGCCCTCTACCCACTGGAAAAACTAGCATCCAAGCCTGTCGAATAATTGTCATCTTTGAAGGTTTTGATTGTACACCCACCTTCAAAAGATAGCTTAGATGCAGTATATTTTGTAGAATAGTTGGTAGATGTTTTCTAATGTTTTATCTTATTTCTGTGGTCTGATTCCAGTGGAGCTACTGGGGCGAGATGCGCTCATTTATTTATTTAAAATATTTTTACCCGACCTTTTTCCTTAGAAGAGGACCTAAGGTAGCTTCCAGTATTTAAAGACAATATTTAAGAACAAGACTGTGTGTATACGAAGGTGGAGTACATTAAAAGGCAATATTTAAAGCTAAAAATGCTAAATATCAAATTATTAAAAAGGAACAAAATACTCCTGTGAGAAATGGGAAACACAAGCAAGGCTAAAGTTAAAATACGGTCAAAGCAGTGATGCATAACAATCAATCTAAAAAGATCACACTCGGGCAGCCACTCATTGAGGGAAAACTTGCCTGAAGAGAAAAGTCTTCACTTGCTTGGGGAAGAACAATAAAGATGCGGTCTCCTGAATCTGGCACAGGGATTCACCTACCTCCCCAGCAGACCAGATCTCTTCACCTAAGCCCGTGGCTGTCTTTTTCCACCCAGCTTTTCAGTTGCTTTGGGCACAGAATGGTGAATATGATTTCAAATTCTACTCATCAGTATTACTGCGGTCGTTCAAGCCTCTTGAAAGCCATCTACTTAGAAGTCATCTGATTCCAAATGGGAAAAATTTCTGATTTTGCATGCTCGTCTGACTTCTACCCCTTGGTTGCCCTATCACAGACATCCTTCATTTCCTCCTATCTCTGAAAGTTTAAGGAAAATCCATCCATGGAAGTCTGAAGGCCATCTCAGCCAAGAGATCTCATCCCTTGGACTCTAATCCCGTAGTTCAAAAGTTTATAAAATGGTTATGACATTTAATTTCCCCAGTCAGACTGCCTATACCTTCATGGTCTCTCTGCAGTTGGTCTTGTTTCAGCTGATGAAGTCACCATTCGAACCACTTGCCACCTGCTAGCCAGGCTGTCCTGGAAGACTGCCTTCTTAATAACCATCACATCAGCATGACAGACGTCTGAATTGACAGCTGTCTGTACTGATCCAACATATCTCACTTTCCATTCTGACAAGGTAGTGCTCTATCTGAACATTTTCTTTCTTCCCAAGGTCTTGTCCACTTTCCCCATCGACCAGGATATCATGTTGCCTACTTTCTTCTGAAACCCTGCTTTACCCTTGGAATGTACACTGCATATTCTCAATGTTTGCAAGGCTCTGACCTTCTGTCTTTCCTATACAGCTACCTCTCAAAAGTCAATTCGATTATTTATCTGCTATGGTGAACCTAAAAGGTAATCCACTGTCCAGAATGATTTGCTCACTGAGTCATAGAATGCATCTCACTCCCTTACCAATTGAGGAACTTAACCTGCATCAACTACTCTCTGTTTACACTCCACTTAGTTTTAGAGTCATCTGCTGCAACTTTCAGAGGCATCCCTCTTTGAGATGTTTGCAAAGCTGCTACCTGGGATCCTCCACCTACTTTAATCCCACACTACTGGCTAGACAATTGAGCCAGGCAAGATACCACATTTGGCAGGCACTTCCCTCCTGTGGTAAATTAGCTGGCGGTCTATACAGTTTGAGAGATCCATGGAGACCACAAAGAAGAATGTTTGGTTGCTTGCTTGTAACTGTTCTCTGAGTGGTCATCTGTGGATTCACACATCCCACCCTCCTCCCTTCAGTGTTCTGCATTTTTTTAATTACTCTTGAGCACAAGGAGTTGAGAAGGCTGCTGCTAGGCATGCATATATATGTGCAAGGATGGGTAGAAGCAGGCTCCCACCAAAAGCTTGGCTAGAAACATTCCAGAACATGGCTCTGTGCATGCACAAACCCCTTTTGTGTGAACCCACAGAGGACCGCTCAGATAACAACAGTTACAGATAGGCAACCAGACATTCTGCTTCATCTCCATCACACATTAGTATTTCTCAATCAAATCTATCCAGGAGACCTACTGCTTCCTTGTTTTTCCTCTTGCTCTGAACACACTTAAACCCCCTCCCCCTCTTTTTTAAAGAAAGAAACCTCTCCTGTAAGTCAGGACTCATTTTGAACTTTAGCCTTTCCAACTTCCTCTAGAATTATTGGCTACTTGCTTATATCTTTCCTTGGTAATTTGCCTCTCATTTCCTTTACATGCCTATTTTAAGACACAGCTTGTCTGAAGGCTGCATATGTAACAACTACATTTTCTATAGATATCTCTCCCTTTTTGTTGATTAGAATTGTTTGTAATTGTGCTTTCATTATCTCACCTTAGAGAGACTCCCCACTATAGACATCATTCTCTCAGTATTTCTGACCTTTGCTTCAATAATTCTGACTGTGACATCTCACCTAGTATTTCACTGAGCTTACTGAAAAATCATGTTTCTTAATGTCCAGATTGCACATTGTACTGTTCTGAACTTTCTCTTTCCTTGATATGACAAATCTCAAGATTATGTCACACATTCCAACCAAAGTTAGCATTTCCATAAAAAGGTCCAAGATACCTGATTCTCATCTCAGTTTTTCAACCTTCTGCAAGATGAAGTTGTCAACAAGGCAAGTGGAGAAATTATTGGACCTTACATTCTTGGCAGAGCTGGGCATTCAATAGATAGCAGAGTAGTGAAAGTCTCCCTTTAGGAATCTGATTTAGGAGGGTATCACTCAAATATTTCATCTGGCTAGGATGTTTGTAGCAGACCCCCAATAATGATGACACTATTCTCTCTCTCTGAGGGTTATTGAAATTCTCTTTGCCACTGTTGCACACTCCAAGTTCAGATCTCACATCTGGACACATCCTTTACATACAATGCCATTCTTGGTCTTTTGTGTCAAGTCTATTTCTTTTGAATAATTTATATCCTTTGATCATTATATCTTTCGATTCATCCAGTCATGAATTTCATCCCACCAGCTTTTGGTGATACCAATTAAATTATATTTCAGATGTGATTAAATTAACAAATTTTATTGCCTTTATTCTCCACCCCCACCCCTGTATCAACAATGAAAAGCATACAGTGGACCCTCTAATTACGGAATTAATCCATATTGGAACGGTGGCTGCAGGTCAAAAAGTCTGTAGGTCGAGTTTCCATTGACCTACAGTGCATTGAAAACCGAATAATCCCGTAACCAGCCGTTTTTCTTCCATTTTTGTTCCATTTTGGGTTTTTTCTGGTCCGTAGGTCGATTCTCTGGCTGCAAGTCAAACCTAAATTTTGCGGCCAGAGAAGTCTGTAACTCGAAAAGCCTGTAAGTTGAGCCGTCTGTAAGTCGAGGGTCCACTGTATTGCTGAAGGCCGATTAGACAGGAATTTGGAGTGGTCTGGGTTGTGTTTAAAATGGCTCTTACCTTCAGTGCAATCCATTTTATCTCACACTTGATCTATCCATTCATATGGGAGACATTTCTTCTCCCATGAGAAGGATACAAACAGCACTGCAGATCACTCTAATTTCTCCATCTTTCAGTTACTGACTCTTCCTCCCCTAGACTGCAGAATGGAATACTCAGGAGCACTTGAAGTCACACCAAATAAACTACGGTGTTAGTGCTGTGCCAAAAAGGAGCAGAACATCTCACAAAAGGAACAGAAATGATTGCTCTTATCAAAACACATACAGTTGTTGGAAAATAGGGCGAACCAAACTGCACCAAAACTGAACCAAATAGCTATAGGCACGTCTGATCACTCTCTCAATTAGCATGTCTTAAATTATCCTCTTCCAATTAAATCCAGTTTGAATATAGCATTTATATAAAAATGAGTTTGACTATAACATTCAGACCATATTAAACGTACTTTATAAAACTTTTATTTTTTTTCTTCATCCAGTGTTTCAGTCTAGTGAGTTTAGGCTGCTGGAAAAGCTTTTACAGTGTTAAACGAACGTGTAAAATTAAAGTGGCGTACTTACTTAGTTTTAATATGTAAACTATAATACAGATAGTTGTGCTAAATGACACCCAACGATTGGAAAGATTTTTTAAAAACCTCAGTCATCCCTCAGTCTTGATGACAATGATACTGGGTTGGAAGTAATGGAACAGTTTTCATGTGATAGTTATAACACACAGTCTGTTCCTTGTTAAAGAATCATCTGCTCCACAGGGCCTGGAAAAATTAAGGATTTGACTGATGTTGCTGATGAAAGCTAATCCAAAGGGAATGGGGACTTTTTGGCCTGGGGGCTGAATTCCAGCTTGAAAAGGATCTTGGGGATTGCAATGTAGTTCTACTGTAGGTATAGCCAGTGGAGTGGGGCTGATAGCAGTGTGAGTAGAAAGAGATGTCATTCTTACCAATCTAGACATTTCCCCGTAAAATTAAGAATTTTGTAGCCTACAAAGTGTACAGATCAGTTCCATGTAGCATCTTGCATAGTGTGGCATGAAATTCTGCAGAACATACTGGATAGTGCATAGCTTAATCCTCTACCGTTATTTAAGGGCAGAAACTATTTAAATATATGTAAATACCCTGTTTATTGTGATCACTGATTAGCTGCAATAGTTAAAGAAAATGCAGATGAGATTTACAAGCCATATCAGGCCCATAGGCTGGAAGCTCCTCATCTTCTCTGCCATTAAGAGAGGAGATGCTTTCTGTTGTCAAGGTCTGCTTTTCTTCGGTAATAGTATAGTGTGCAGGACAAAATGCAGATTAATAGGGCTACTCCCCTCCTTTTTTCTTTCTTTCTTTGTACCTCCTCATACTTCTCTTTCTATTTGAAATAAGGCTGAGAGGCACAGGCAGCGCAGAGGGCACAGGCATCATAATCTTGCTTGTCAGCAAATCTTATGCTGGTCCAGGGGCAGAGTACAAATAACCACATACTCACCAAAGATATTTTGGCATAGAATTGGCCACAACTTTATTGGTTATAGCTTCCAATAGCCCCTTATGCTAATATAGAGGATGGGTCTCCATCAGCCACCTCACCTTGTGCCTGATATTTGTCATGGAAATATTTGCAGGCTTAAGCACATGGGCATAACCTACTGCATGAACTTGCCTGCCCCAAAGGGAGCAGAGAGCGTGCAACAGCACCTAAGCCAGTTGTGATTTGTTACCCCCATTCTAATGTAAGATTTGTATGCCCTTGATTTCCACTCCATGATGGCTGTTATTTGTTCACCAGTGAACCCAGCATGGCCACTGCTGTAGCAGCCCCAAACCTGAATGAGTGAGCTCTAAACTTACCCAGCTACAGCTTGCAAGCTGTGAGTGTCACCTTCAAAATCCCAGCAAACTGGGATTTTGTAACTTGTCACTAGTTAGCGTGCATGAACAAGGGACTGGGCAGCGGCAGACAGACCTGGAGGTGTCCTTTTGACAGGGCACAGGCTGGCTTTCCTGGAACTACGCAAGGCAGCGTTTTTTCCTTCTGTTGACATGACATTTAAAAACAGGCGGCAATTAAAAATGATTGGCTGATATACTCAGTGACTACTCAGAAGGACTGTTTTGAAAAGCCTGCCAAAAATAGAAAGTTTTAAGGGATTTCTTAAAAGTCGCCAGAGAGGGAGCCAGTCAAATTTCAGATGATAGCTCATTCCACAGCTGGAAAGTGACTGCCAGGAAGCCCCAGTTCCCTGTTTTCTCCTTCCAGGCCTCCCTCAGGGTGAACACCATCAGCCATCCAGCCTGGGATCTACGAGTAAGATGGGTAGTCCCTGTTAGAACACCATCAGCCATCCAGCCTGGGATCTACAAGTAAGATGGGCAGTCCCTGTTAGAAGTAGGCGTTCTGCCATATACAGAGGTCCCAAACAATTCAGGGCTTTATAGGTCAAAAACAGCTCCTTAAAGGTGATACAGAAATGAACTGGTAACCAGTCCAAGGCAGCCAGTATCAGGGAAACATTCCTGCAAGCAAGCTTTACAGGCTAGAGGAAACACGGTTATCTGCTACTATGTATGCCACCAACATTCCCCCAAGCACACTGTCTGTCTATGCTTGCTTTACTCGCTCTGCTAGCTGCCTACCTTACCTCTCTGGTGCTGCCCTCTTATTTTGTCACTTATTTGCTTGCTTGTTTGCTTGCTTGCTTATTAAATAGTCCCCCTGTTTTCGTTAATACTGCCCCACTAAACTGCCCACTAAACTACAATGCTTGTTTTCACTACACTCCTACAATGGCACAACTTCCCCCTAAAATTTCTGCCTAAGCTTTTACAGAAAAATCCAGCTGTGGTTGTGTCCTCCCTCTTGCCCTTTTAGCCACTCCTCATATCTAGTCCTTGGTTTACCTTCCCTAATTTTGCATCCTTCACCCGCTCTTTATTTCCCCTTCTCTTTCTGGGTTGGTGATGTTTTATTAAAAAAAAGAGAGAGAAAAAATCTCTCTGTCAGTATATTCTTAATTTATTATATTATTTACACTGGTGTGCTACAAATTAATTGCCTCAATGACTTGATTGACTGATTCATTATAGTGCCCCTTCAGACTGTTGGTCCCAACTGCCACCTGATAAATTCACTGCTGATTTAATCAGCTGACCCGTAGTCATTGTCTGTCATCCTCTTTTAAAAACAAACAAACAAACAAGCACTAGCATTCAGCTTCCTTTTTCTTTTTTTCTTCTTTTTTTTAAAGAACACCACCTCTGCAGCTCTTATTCTCTGTCCAGGGCCGCCTTCTCAGTTCCTCTTGGCAGTCAGCTCTCCTCGGCCTTTCCTCTCTCCTCAACCACTGTCAGTCACCACCACATTGTCTGACACTGCCTCAATCACCACTTTCTTTCTTCCCTTCTTTGTCTTCTCCAGGTTGCTGCCTTCATCTGCTGTCTTCCCTCTTGTGCTGGTCCTTGCTAGTGGTCCTTCCTACAGATGTTCCAGAGCCGAAGTGAGCTCTGGAGCAGCCAGGCAACAGTTTTATGCCCCCTAGATGACCTGGATTGGAAACCCCATCCTTCTGGCCACCTGGAGGACTGCCCTCAGCCCTCAGCCAATCTCACTGGCCAATTCAGATTTTAGTGGGGAATAATAAGAGGAAGGAAGCCACCCAAAATGGCACTTGCCACGTCCTCCAACCCCAGAGCCACCATTACCAACAAAACACAGCCCTTTGGTGGCTCTGGGATTGCTGCATCTTGTCAGAAAGCCAGCAGATGCAGCTACCTTCTATTCCTGTTCTTCCCAGCTGCCCAAAGGGGCACTGGTATAGCAATCCCTCCTACATACTTGAGAGGGGGTTGAGGGGGTTTAGCATCTTGGGCTTAAGTGCCTGTATGAGACACAAATCGTGATTGGGTTACACTCATGAGACAGGTAACTGACTCAGGCACCCTGTGGGATATATAATGCCGCACATTGAGACTGTTTCCCCTGGGGCAGTGGTGCTGGGAGCAACCGAAACCTCTTATCTGAAAACCCACATAATATGTGACTGTAGATGCTCCTTCTGGTGTGTAGGGCAAAGATGCCTACAGGAGGATCCTTATTCTGGAAAGAGGCAGTGTCAGACCCTACAAGAAAAGATAAAGGCAGTTCTGTGCAAATCCAGCACTTGAGAGTAAAATAAGAGAGTAAAAGCCTGTCCAGAAGCACATTCTAGCCGCAAATCTCCATTTGAAAGGTGTGACTCCACCTAGAATGGGTCAATCTCACCCCTGCCTGGAGTTCTCAAAGTCATTATGAGTGAGACAGGAAGAGAGGGAAGTTGTTTTCACAGTCTTTTTCCTTTCTTTTTTCCCCCATGATCTCTGCCAAATTGTTGTCTGGACCAGCAAGGTACAGACCTGGGAGTGAGGGTTTTTTTATATCAATGTGTATTTGTGCATCTGTCTGTTTACCTGCCCAGCTGCCTTCCGACCTATCTATATCTTGTGATCTTCAGTGTACAATAAAGGCTGCTTTTGTATTTCAGTATGCTTCACGATGACCAAGAGAAAAGAGCTACTGCTGCAAAGGCCTTGTGCAGTCCCTTCTTCAGCGTTCCTTTTGGTGAGTCACATGACAGCGTTTTATACCTACAAAGGATGTTAGCTATGTCAGTCCTTATAGAAAATTTGTCATTTTATTTTAACATGTTCTGTCTCTCTTCTCCCTCAGTATAAGTTGGCTACCATCCATCAAAAACAAATCTCTGCCTATTAGGGGGAGTCTTACAGACTCTTGAGGGATGCATTTTTACCTGACATTTATGTCCTCCTCACATCTCCTCCTGTCTTTTCAGGCTTGATGGCCCCACCCCACAGAACCCTGACATAACATAGCAGGATCTGTTTAGGTGTCAGATGAAATGATTTTTAGGTGATAAGACATAGTCAAGCACAAAGTATACTGTATAATGTCCTGAGAACAGATTTGGATAGGTTATAGTAAGTCTGTCTGACAGTTACCTTGATATAATTATTACCTTGCCTTTTAACTGTATGCTTGCTTAAATAGCTCCCCACATTGATGATCTGGTGATGCTTCCAACTCCAGTGCTGAGACTACTAAACATTTTGAGTGATTCTTGTCTACAGAATGAAGAAGAATTTGAAGGTTAGTAAGCTACCTGTTTTTCGAATAGCTCATTCTAGAGTGCAGTACAGAATATACTAATGACAGTGGGCATGCATGAGCATATGAAAAGACAAATAGTTCTAAGATCTGCCTGAACTTATGAGGAGAATTTTCTTCCTTCACACCAAAGGAAATGCATTGATAGATACAAAGCTCTGTCCAGAGCTATGAAAATACATATGCATATTTATTGATATGGATAATGTCTTAATTAAACATTACTAACAAATATAATATAATAAGAAGAAATGAGCTAATGCTGTAGCACCACCTTCAGTTAAAGTGTTTTGGCACCTAGTGATCAGAAAGTTTATATTTTTGTAAATTAAATACGTCACAGTTGGCTCCCTTTTTCATGACAACTAAAACCAATTTTTATGATGGACGCCTCACTCTGGCTAATGGTAGGGTTCCCTTCATATTAACTTTCCTTGGAATAGGAAAACTGAAGAGGAATAGAACAAAAATGTGACAGTGGGGAAAGTTGTCAAGTGAAACCCATTACATAAGTTCATACACTTATGTACTGGGTTTCATTTGACAAATTTCCTTACTTTCACATTTCTTGTTCTATTCCTCTTCAGTTTTCCTATTCCAAGGAAAGTTAATATGAAGGTGATAGCTGCAAAGGTACCCGGAACTCCCAAGCCTCCTTGGAAGGAAAGGAGCAGATCTTTTCAATGTACCAGACGACTGCCACATTGAATCTTTAATCCTGCAGAACAAAACTGGCAAAATCAACAGTATTTCATCATGACAACTGTTAAAGAATCGGGTCCAGGATTTCACCATCAATCTGAATCAGACTCGAAGAAGCACAAATCTGAGGTTTCCCGAAAAAAAGCCTTCTTCAGGAGCTGTGGTTCCCAGCTTTTTTTCATTTGTGTAGCCCATTTCCATAAATTATACCCCTCCTACACTATTAACAAAAATAACAAAGCAGCATGCATGTTTCCATTTCTTATGTCAGCTTAACTCACTCCCCAGCCCTAGGCTTCCATTAAGCCCTGGGCATCTCTCAACCTGGCTCCTTCCCCAGTCCTCCCCCACCTTCTTTCTTTTCTTGAAGTAACTGACATCGCACAACACATGGAAGTTGCAACCTTGCCCCACCAGCCCCTCTTTTTCCCCATTGTTTGTTGTGTTTTTTGTCTTATGGTATTTATATTCTGCCTTTCTCCTAATAAGGGGGCTCACAGTACAGTGGTGCCTTGCTTTACAATTGCCCCGAATTACAATGAATCCGCTTAATGGTGATCTTTAACAGTGGTGCCTCGCTTTACAGTTGCCCTGAATTATAATGAATCCGCTTAACGACGATCTCAATGGTCTAAATGGGGGAATTTCGCTTTGCGATGATCGGTTCCCTGCTTTGGGAACTGTTTCTTCGTGAAACAACGTTTTTTTTAACAGCTGATTGGTTGTTTCAAAATGGCCGCCGGGTAATTAAAATGGCTCCCCGCTATGTGTAGGGATGGATTCCTCGTTACACAGGTATTCCTCGCTATACAGGCAGCAAAAATGTCCGCTGTATGGAGGGTCTTTTCTGGACAGTGAGTTTTTACCCCATTGGAATGCATTGAACGGGTTTCAATGTGTTTCAATGTGTATGTACGTGTTTTTTTCTTTGCTTTACGATGTTTTCGCTTAACGGTGATTTTCCTGGAACGGATTATCGTCGTTATGCGAGGCATCACTGTATTTCAAAAAAGAAGAATTAAAAACATAGTAAGCTATGTATTGAAAACAATTATAAAATAAAATTGATTAAAACACATTGAATTATTAAAAACATGTAAAACATTAAAAACTATCCTAACTGAAAAATGGCATTCAGGGACTTAGTTATGATTGTTAAAAGCCTGCCTGAAAAAGTGGTTCTTCAGCTTTTGGAATAAAAGGCAGGGAGCCAACCTGACCTCCCGAGGGAGAGCATTTCATAATTCTGGGAATTGCAGTGCAATAAGGCCCTCTCTTTTGTCCCCATCAACCATCCCTTTGCTGGCAATGGGACCGAGAGGAGGGCCTCCTCTGACAATCTTAAGCACTGAAAAGGCTCTTATGGAGAGATACGATATTTCAGGTTGCTTGGACCGAAGCCATAGAGGGCTTTATAGGTAATGACCAGCACTTTAAATTGGCTGGTAGCCGGTGCAATTGTTGTTGTAGCAGGGGCTTTATATGCTCCCTATAACTGAATCCTTTCAGCAGTCTGGCTGCTGCACTTTGGACCAAGAGTACCCCCAAGGTGTGACCCTGAGTTTTCAGGGGGACTTTAATCCCATATGGCACAGGTTGTATCCCTGTTCCCTCACTCATCTGCCTTCCAAGGAGCACCTCTGTCTTGTCTGAGTTAAGTTTCAGTTTGTCAAGCCCACTACTGATATCAGGGACTGTTTTAAAACTAAGACAGTTTCCTTGGAATTGAATGGAAAGGATAGATAAAGTTGGATGTCATTAGCATACTGGTAACATCAAATGCAAAAACTTTGGACAACTGCTCCCAGTGGTTTCATGTAGGTGTTAAGAAGCTTTTGTTCCATGCCAACCCATCCCTGTTCCTCATCCCATGAGGAGAGCCCCAGTCTTAGCAATCAGAAGACCCAATATACAGCATCAAGCAGCTTCCACCCAATGCCAAGTAAGTTCCCAGGGACAAGTGGGGATTTGAACTCAAGCCTCCTGAGTTTTTACCCAGTCTTCTATCCACTACATTGTGGTGACTCTCATAGAGTTTGTAGTAAATTTTATATCTTTATTAATATTCCTGTTTGGGACTTTTCTAGTGAGCTGTGCAGTAGTTTACTCTGAAGTGTAATGATTTGTTAAAGACCATATAACGAGGTGCATTGCGAAGTTAGGATTTTGAAAATGGGATTCCCAGGTTCTCTCTTCATTCTTTATTCTGTCTTCTACATACAGTATTGGTTCTTAGGTGCAAGCTTTCAGTTCTTGTTCTGATTTCACAGATATAGTGGATGACATAAAAGAAGAATGTGGCAAATATGGACAGATTGTTTCTCTTTTTGTTCCAAAGGAAAATCCAGGCAAAGGTCATGTAAGTATATGGGTAGTTGAGACATCTGTGTGGAATCAGTTTTCATGTTGCTCTGTAATTTTACTTGAACTGTTGAGTAATACATATGTGCTGTCTTCAGGGAGCATGCTGACATGTAGAATGCACACATTTATTCTGGTGACTATTAACATAGCCTACAGGCTGCGTCATATGCTCAGTTTTGAGACTATGCTTTTGTGGTACTTGTTTTAGCCATTCACAATAACTAGTTTTTTCTTCATTTAGATATTTAGGAAAGGTTTGTGTATCATTGCTTAATATGCAGAGCAGCTGTTGGCTGTGATGAAATTGTATCCATAGTGGTATGGATACTCAGATGTGGTGTACGTGGATGTGAACCAGAAACAAGGAAGGGCAGCAGTAAAACAGAAGCAGGAAGACTGAAAAAATACTGGTTATTAATTGAACCCCACATGTTTTGAAAAGATTGATTTTGTTACATAGAAATTGTCTAGGCTAAAGTAAGTCATAGCTGGAGTTGCCCATTTGGATATTACAGAGGAGTTCACTCACTAAATCCTCTCTGATTCAACAGACCTACTCTACTGCAACTTGCTACACTAGGCGACAGAAATTCAGCCAGTATATAGAATATAAGTGTAATGCAATTGAAATGAGGACCACCCTCATTAATGTTCTTGCTTTGCCCATAATACTGAGAGAGAACTGTGCTGAGATTATAAGGTAGGTAAAAATAAAAGATTAACTTCATCATGATAAATCTGTTCTGTCTTCTGTATGAACAAAATGTTCTCCAAAGCCTCCTAAGTGCAACTACCTGTGATTGTAATTTGTAAAAAGATAAGTAGGGTGATGCCTCAACATGGACTGATTCATTAGGTATCACAAAAGGAAAGGAGAAACAAACATATTGTGAGACAATATATTGCAAGCTTCAAACTTCTCAGAGAAATAAATGTGTTCTGGCATAATTAGGATATAATAAAAAGTCTCTGGTAATTATCAGAGACTTTAAGGAATCCACACTAGCACTTTGGTGACCTTGGTTTCCTAGATACAGGGGCTGAGAGTTCCCAGGAATAGTAGACCCAAATTGTGTGATTTGTACACTCCAATGTATTCATTTTTCATTGAGATTCTGTACATATGGGCCAAACAAATTTCAGATTGAGAAAAAGCACATATGCAAGAACAGATGCAGGCTGTCCTCATAAATGGCCATGCACCCATTACATTTATGATTGCCCCGCTCTAATACTCTGTGTAGCTCTGGCCAGAACATACTTGTTTCCCATTGCTTAATGGTAGAGAATATGTTGATCATCAACAGGGTCCTGACTCAACATCAGCAGCTCTAGTTCAAAAGGATAATAGGCATTTGGTGCTAGGAAGGGCCTGGAATATTCTGAGCTGCTGCCAGTCAAAATAAACAGGACTGGACAAGATTGACCAGTCATCTGATTCAGTATAAAACTGCTTTGTATAATCGTTCGTTTTAGAAAAAAATGATATGTGTGTCTCCAAGTAGAGCTTTGTGGATTACACCACTATTATATCAAGAGAAATAAATTGTTTCACTAGAATAGCCTCCCTGTTTGTCAGATTAATTTGTTTCATCATCTTGTTAAATTAGAATATTTTCTCTTAAAAATGAAAGATGCATAGGGTGTCAGGTGTAGCCTGTATTATAGTTACATTTTTAAATTATTGTTATGACTTATGCATCTGCGTTTTATGCCTACATACAGTAATTCAAGAAAATTCTAGAGCTGAGCAGCCTTGTCTGATAGGAACTTCACCAACCTTTTCTGTGTGTGTCTAGGTGATACAAACAATATCTGTCTCTTTATCAGTCTCAGCTGTTAGTCGCATGCCCTGCAGGTGAAGAGTCAACATCCTCTGTGGACCTGGGTTTCTGTGCTGGTACCAAGGAAGATGGCTTTTTGAGCCTATCTACCAAAGCCATTGGAAAATAAACTTTAAAGCAATTGAATGGACCAGATGCTTAAGAAACATATAAGCCTTTAACAGTGGAATAAACCAGCGAATACTCCCTGCTTGTCACTTATTCAGAGGAGGGAGTCAGGAAGTGACTCACATGGGCCTGTCAAGAGCAGAAACCAAGCTAAGACCTTTCTAAATGACCCAAAGCCAGCAGATCATCTTAAGTAGCGATGACAAGACTAGACAGTATCTTCATTCTCTTATTGCAAAGGTGATTCTCAGAAAAGCTAAACAGTGTTGCAGAGTCTGTACATCAAGCTTTGGAAATGGGAAGACTGAGACCAAATTCCATTAATCACTCATAGTTTATGCCCTGGAGCTGCAAGCCTGTGTAGAAATGCTGTAAAATAGAGGCAGAAATATCAATGTTTACAGTTAAGAGGTGAGAATGAGAATGAAACTGACATGAAAGGTCTAGGACTGGAAATATTTATTGCCTTCTCTTCTACCTTGTCATTAGTAATATTAGCTCTGCAGCTAGAATTACAATGTGAAGGCCCCAAATTAGTAGCAAGTGCAGATGTTATTGTTTCTTTTTAAATTACTGTTTTCTGGTGACTTTGGGCAAAGAAGGAACTGTCCTTTCCCCCTCCTGGCTGCCCTACTCTAAACACATGACAACTTATCAATATCCTTGTTGAACAGTGGTTCTTAGAACCAGAGACACTATACCAGGTGAGGTCTGACCAAAGCAGAATAAAATGATATTGTTGCTTTCCTTGATCTGGATTAGGGATGGGACTTTCATATTTCTGGGACTGGGAGAGGAGAAACCAGAAGGCTAAAGAGATGTGTCCATACTAGAGATGGGGGTATTCATATTCGTATGTGAATATCCCCGCACAGGTGGAAACAAGGGTCCAGCCAATTGGGGCCAGACTGTCCACTCACAATTTTGCCACTGCCGCCAGCTCCGTGGCAGCTTCCTATCGCGCTGTTCTCTCCAATAGATTTAGCCTAGCAGAGAGGCTTGTCATCCCGCCTCCTGCCAGGACTGAGTAATCGATTGCAGACGACGGCGCGATAGGGAAGTCCCACAAGCTCGCATCAGCGGTGAAATTGTGAGTAGATAGTCCAGCCACACAATCGATTGCAGACAACGGCGCGATAGGAAAGTCCCACAAGCTCGCATCAGCAGCAAAGTTGTGAGTAGATAGTCCAGCCACACAGGGCCAGACCCTCATTATTTCCACCTGTGGGGGGGATATTTGAATACGAATACCCCCATCTCTAGTCCCTATTTCCATTTTCTGCTTTGCTCCACATGCTTCCTGAGAGTTACCCTAGTGCTCAGTGGGAAGAGTAGTTCAATGAGCGACTCCCCCTGTAATGTCTAGTAGATAGTAAAATTACCTTTCCATTTGAACACTGGGACAACATTGTACTGTTGATATCCTTCTGAAACTGTGGTGCCAGAACTGGACACAATATCCCAAGTAAGTTCTGGCAAAAGTGCAATAGTGTTGTACTGTTGCTTCCCTTCATCTCAGAGTTATACCTTTATTGATGCAGTCTAGCATTGCACTTGATTTTTTTCCCATTCTATCACACTATTAATGTATATTTAGCTTATGGATCTTGTAAAACCCCTAGACCTACGTAGATCCTTTTCACATGTGTTACTGTTGAACCAGATATCTTATAATTTGTACATTTGATTTTATATTTTTTTCCCTGAAACTCATCTTGTTTCTTTTGGCCCAGTTCTCCAATCTGTTAAGTTTGCCTGAATCCCTTCCCAGTTTGGCATCTTCTGTGAATGAGTTGCGTATCTCCTCCATGCCCTCATCCAAATTGTATAAAGATGCTGAACAACACCAGGCCTGGGACAGAATTCTGTAGCTCCCCAGAATGATTAGGAAGGCGAACACATTGTTTGTTTGTGACGTCTAAGAATTCTCAGATTGTAGACACTCCACCTGAAAAGTTTGCTCTCATAGGTTTCAGCAGTGGCCAGGATTGTATTTGCCCAATTAAAGCTGGTGTGCCAGGCGCTCATACCCTTGGTATTTTCTGATTGGCTACAGTGACACATGCCTGAGTTACATGCTACCTGGATTAGTCTAAAGCTCTCTGGTGGAGGTGCCTTTGAGGTTTATTCAGAAACTTTAAAATCGTGTAGCCAGGCTGTTTACTGGGACAAACTACAGGGATTATACAACTTCCTTGTTACAAAAGCTTTATTGGCTTTTGATCCATTTCTGTGCAGAATTCAAAGTACTGGTTATACTGTATAGAAAGCCCTATACAACATGGGTCCAGGTCATTGAAGGACTGAAAGATTTAACATATGCAGTGACACCATATTACTGTCAGAAAGCAGCAATGACTTGAAACCATTTCTGAAAAGTGAAAGAAGAAAGTGCAAAAGCAAAATTGCAGTTGAACTTCAAGAAGACAAAAATCATGACTACAAAAAACTACAGAACTTTGATGTTGACAATGAAAATGTTGATAATATGAAAATTTTGTATTCTTTATTTCAATCATCAGTCCAAATGGGGACTGCAGCTGAAAATTAAATTCAGAAGAAAGCAAAGACTTGGAAGAGCAGCATGAAAGAATTAGAAAACATCAAACTCTTTTTTTTCACCTGAAAACATATCACTGGAGACCAAGTGTGACCAAGTGGAGTCACAAGATCATCCATTTTCTTGTGCTTCCAATTACTCTATATGGGTATGAAAGCTGGACAGCAAAGAAAACTGTAAGGGAAAAATATTCATTTGAAATGTGGTGCTGGAGGAGAGTTTTGCAATATGTTGGACCTCCAGGAAGATGAATAAGTGGATTATGGATCAAATTAAGTTTTGAACATCCTCTGGAAGCAAAAATGACAAACAAGATACTCTGGAGGGCACTCATTTAAACAGTCTCCATAAGTTGGAGACAATGCCACATAACAGCAACACCCTCCCATTTATCTTATCTGGATTTTGATATCTTGAGAAATGGGCCTTTTCTTGGTTCTGCCATCTTCACATACATGTTTGGTGATGACATTTGCCCTTTTAGTCACTATGTTGACAATGATAAATCACCTTTGGGTTTCCATCCTCCCATGTGAATTTTTGGAGTGATTTGCTGGCATCACTCTAGTTAATAGGATCTTGTGACTATGTATCAGCCTGTTGTAATCTGATCTGATTAATCATAGATAAATCTACTATGTATTTTGCAGTATATCTTGGTTGTTTTGAATTGTTGTTTTATTGATTGCCGTTTCCTTCCACTTCTAAAAAGCAAACATTTACAAAGAAAAAAAAGGTCTATGTCATGTGAATTAAAAGTCAGAATAGGATAAGCGTGACTTTGTTTCAGTTTCAGCTTTGGTATCCTAGCTGTTAGCATCTTCTTTAGATGCAGTGGTGGAAGATCCTGCATTCTCTCCATCTGATGATATCCAATCCTTGAAATAATAGTTGTAGCAGCACCAGGAAGGCCCTGTGTAAGACATTTCAAGCCCTGGTTATATTGGAGGTAGCAATTCCTACACACTACTCTGCACTATACAGTCAGGAAATTCTGAAATACTCTATCCTCAGTAAAGCCAACATCTTAGAAGACTTTGTGCAAGGTCTTGGAGGAGGATTGTGGCTTGTCACGTATCCTGCTCAAAGGTGCATCAGTGTGGAGGCTACTTAGGAGAAGAATAGCAAAAGTCATACAGTATTTGGTACTAGTGATTAGAGAGAATCACAAGGTAGACTATATGGGCAGAAAACTACATTCTTCTATTGTACTTCTCCAAGGAAATGTAAACTACAAAGATGTTTTGTAGCATCCATGAAAACTAACATATATTTTTCATGAGATTTCAGGTGCCCAAGCACATTAAAGCTTATGAAAAATGCATACTAGGTAGTCTTTTAGGCTACTACAAGACTTCTGTTTTATCTTTTGCCACAACAGACTAACAAGCCGCCAGCTAAAGATGCATAGGGGCATACCAAGAATTCTTAATGAGAAAGAATTACTTGGATGAGTTGCCAGAGGACAATCAGCTCCCAGGCTTTTGGTACAAACCAACGCCTGTATATTTATGGACCATCAGATCAATGTTCTGTGCATGTATTATATGCCATCAAGTTGCATCCAACTTACAGTGAGTCTAATAGGTTTTTCAAAGTAAGTAAGATACTTATGGAGGGGTTTTACCACTGCCCCACACCTCCACCATTAGTTTCCACAGCCAAGTAGGGGTTCAGACCTGGTTCTGAGACCTAGAAAAAAAGGTAAAGGTTCCCCTTGTACTTATGGAGGGGTTTTACCACTGCCCCACACCTCCAACATGAGTTTCCACAGCCAAGTAGGGGTTCAGACCTGGTTCTGAGACCTAGTTCATCCTTATAAATACATGGGTAACTCCATATGATCCATCAAGGTTATGAAGTTGAGTTCAACACAACGTCCCCTAGTGAACTTTTGTTCCATCACCCAATTTGTAAAGGTTTGAGCGGAAATATGTACATTTGCAGGGAAAAGATCCACAGAACCTTTTGTGCTGTCATTTCAAAGACCAAAAAGTGTTTCTTGAAGTGCTTTCCAGTTACCAAAGAAGGATGAAGGAGTTTGATGATACATTTTCAAAATGTCAGATAATATTTTTGGATGGTCATAGTGGCTTCCGTCCCACTACTTTTCAGAATGGGGCACTGGCTTGCAATAATCCTCTTGAGTTTCTTTTGCTGCGGTGGGTACAGAACTGAAGACTCAACTATATGTTGTAATACTTCAGGTCTGTTTGTTTTTTGCATCGAGTTGTGCATGATTGCAAGCAAATTAAAAAATTTCAGCTAAACAATGTACAACTAAATCGCGAAGGCTAGGCTTTCACGGCCAGGATCTGATGGTTGTTGTGGGTTTTTCGGGCTTCTTGGCCGTTTTCTGAACACGTTGAGAACACGGCCAAGAAGCCCGAAAAACCCACAACCAATGTACAACTAAACATGCATATTTTCAACTGGGAAGCAGGATTTGTAAATATCTACATGGGAGTTGTTTATTTTACATTTATTCTGGTCACACTTTTTTCTTACACATTTTGGCATGTGTGATCACCTGTGATGGAGTAAATAGTGTCTGTGGGTGGTCTGTGGGATTTGCTGAGTTTGGGGTATGAGGTTCAATGGGGTTGTACCTGAAGCATAAATGCTTTCCTTTTCTTTCTACTTCTATTTTAGCACTGTATCAATCTAGCACTATGCCACTTCAAACTTATATAAAACAAATTAAAAAGTTAAAAAAATGCAATTTAGACCAGATATGACAATTCTTAGAAGAAATGGCTGTTAGAGTAGTTGTGGGCTGTGATGCTCTCTTTGCTGAATAAAAGCTTTCCCAAGACAGGCAAGCTCTACCTCAAGAAAAGCACAAAGTACAGTTGAGGTGAAGAATTAAGTTCACAGTACAGAGGGAAAATCAGGACACTAAAATGTCAATATGCCGCACAACTTGCAATCAGACTAAACATTGTTCCATGAGAGTAGTATAAGGCCACAAAACGTTAAATCAGTTTCTAAAAACTCGAACAGCTCGTTGTTTAATTCAATTGTGTAGTTGCACCCTGAGGGCAAAGGTCAGGAACAATACCTGGGCATGAGCACTTCGGAGCAGAAGACATTGCTCAGCTCTAGAAATTTCTGAACAACTTTGTGCAAATAAAAAACAACCTACATGGGTGATTTTACAAATGGGCACTTGAAGAACCATAGTTACAGGTAAGCCACCTGTTCTTCATACACAGAGTCTCTGTGATAAGTTCAGGGACACCCATATGGCATGTAGTAGCTATATTTTCCAATCCTCTTAAGGACGAGAGCACATCAGACTCTTTTGGAAAAGAAGAATGATCACAGTTCTATCAGTTTTACTTTGTGCTTGCCAGAAATTTGACTATTTCTCAATGCTTGATGCTGCTGAGAACTTCTTACAGCTACCGGTAACCTTTCAGGTCTGTGCCTCAGGTAGCAAGAAACAGCCCCTACTATCTTCTGGTACAAAGGTGTGTGAAATGCAGTCTGTGGGTTGGCAGTCACTTCCTTCCCTCCCCCCAAAAAAAGTTTAGTAATGACTAATACTTGTTTGTGGGGGTGGTTGGGTTTATGGTGCATATCTTGCTCCCCCAGAAGCTTCCATGGGTATTATTTGCACTTGGGTATCAGATTTTCTTTTCCTGATAAATTTTGAGCTAGGGGTCAGAAATATCCAGTGTGCAGTTCTTCAAGGCTTGGGTCGGGGGGAATAACCTCCAGACAAAATGCTGCCTCTGTATGTTGCACATTCCCTACTCTAGTTGCAGAACTAGATGGGTTGCCAGGCTGCTGGAGAGGCAGGAGATCGGGTTTTTCACAGCATCGAGCATCAAAGAATTGGAGCAGGGACTGAGTTTTTATCATGCTTTTTCCACTTAGGTTGCTGTCAGCTTGCTCTGCTTTTTGGTTCTCTGTCTTTCTCTTTGTCTGTCTGTTAAAAAGAAGCTATAATGCTCCTCCTGTTCCTTTCCAGGTCTTCATTGAATATGCAAATGCTGCTGATTCCAAAGCTGCCCAGCAAGCACTGACTGGAAAGAGATTTGATGGCAAGTTTGTTGTGGCTACGTTTTACCCGCTGAGTGCCTATAAGAGAGGATATCTTTACCAAACTGTGCTGTAGTCTACAACAGCAGTCAAGAGAGATGCACATACCCAAAGCTTTTGGCTTTGCCTGAGTGTTTCCCAGAGATGGATTCCATCTGTGTCCACTTTCTTTCCCATTTTGTGATTAGCAGAAAAGGCCCAGATGTTTTTGTTTTGCTGCATACAGAATCTGCCTCCCTCTGTGTGGTTGCCAGAATATTATGAAATGGATGTCTGAGATTAAAAGCCAATAAGGGTTTGATATTTTTAAAAATCAGGTCTCAGAATAATGTTAACAATTGTGACAATGAACTCTGAGTCAAACACTGAAGGATTATTGAGTAGACTGCTGCTATCCATGAAATGTCACTAAAGCACCTCATGCTTCAAGCCTGGCTGAAAAACCAGAGCAAAACCATAGAGGTCCAATGTCATAAATCCCAGCCAACCTTCTATGCCTTTGCACATTAAACGGGAGTGCGTTGGACTGCCTCTGCACATACTCTTAATGGTGTAAATAACCATAGTGTTACTTTTCCATGAGAGAAAACTGTTATTCCAAGTACAGGATTGTTGCCCTAGAAGCAGTTCATCTGGCAAGACGAACCTGCGGAGGTGCTCCTGGCTATGGAGAATCCAAAAGTGGACAAACAGTGAGTGAGTGACAAGTTTTGATTCCACTTGTAGCTTCCAGCCATTCCTTGTAGTTTGCAGAGCCATTTTCCCAGGAACAATGCTAGAGTTGAGCCAAGGCACCTTGCAGCTAAACTGCATGTGGAATTGTAGCACACAATGAGATTAGCTTTGAAATACTCAGAAAAATAATTTACTTAAAAGAGATCCTGGTTTGAATAGGTAATAGTAGGTACTTGGAGTTTAGTCCTTTCTGCTTTTGCTAGATGCAGAATTGGGAGCTCATGGCCAAATTATACATACGTAGTAGGGCAAAGGTAGAGAAAATAGTAATAGGGAATCTCATGGTGTAGTGGTTGAACTGCAGCATTGCAGTCAGGACTGCTCACAACCTGAGTTTGATCCTGATGGGTGCAGGTAGCTGGTTCAAGATTGATTCAGCCTTCCATCCTTCTGAGGTCAGTAAATTGAGTTCTCAGTTCACTGGGAGACAAAATGTTCCTTGCATAATTACGTTGCAAACTGCCCAGAGAGTGCTCTGGCACTAAAGGGTGGTATATAAGCAACACAGTTTGCTTTAATAAGGTAACAGATCTTCCTTTGTGGGCCTACTTGTATTGGGCAGGGCCACACTCCCTTGATATCATCAGGTCTCAAATTAAAGCACATCTCTAGCACTTCAGCCTAAGGGACTGGCTGCCCTTCCCTTCCTTGTTCCCTGCGCAAGGAAGGGGAACAGGAGGAAAGTACTCTTGGCCACCAATCGCAGGTGATGGCTGAGTCCTCATGTTAGTTCTCACCTGGTATCAACAGGGGATGCAGCCTGTGAGGCCAGCGTTTTACATTGCTCTCCCTCCAAGTTGTAAGGATGAGTGGCCTGGAAAAATCATTCTCACCATTACCTTTAGTCTCCAACAGCAAATACCAGTGGGAGTTTCTCTCCTCTTTTAGCTTTCAGATGGCAAGTCTTGGTGAGCTGGAAATATCTGTGAACCGAATTCTGAACTGCTGTGGGTCTACAGGATAAGTTTCTGTCTCCCTTATAGTAGAGCCACTCCTGATGGCTGATCCTTTCTTTGTATGCCTCCTTTTTCGCATTGTTTCTCAGACAGAATTAGCTTGAAAAAAATGTGAATGCTGGATATGTTGTTACTATGTGCTGTCAAGTTACCTTCAACTTATGGTGACCTATGAATGAATGGTCTCCAAAATGTTCTGTCCTCAACAGTCCTGCTTAGCTCTTATAGTGACCTATGAATGAATGGTCTCCAAAATGCTCTGTCCTCAACAGTCGTGCTTAGCTCTTATAAATTCAAGCGTGTGGCTTCCTTTAGGGAGTCAGTCTATCTCATAGTTGGCCTTTCTCTTTTCCTGCTGCCTTCAACCTTGCCCAGCATTATTGTCTTTTCCAGAGAATCGTGCCTTCTCCTGATGTGCCCAAAGTGAGTGCAAGCTTCAACCTTTTTGCCTCCAGAGACAGTTCAGTCTTGATTTTATCCAGGATCCCCTTGTTTGTCTTTCTAACAGACCAGGGTATTCACAAAGCCCTCCTCCAGCACCAAATTTCAAACGAATCAATGCTTTTCCTGTCTGCTTTCTTTACTATCCAGCTTTCACACCTGTACATGGCGACTGGAAATGCAAGAGTGTGGATGAACTTGGCCTTTCTTTCCAATCGCACATCTTTACGGTTGATGACATTTTCTAATTCCTTCATTGCTGCCCTTCCAAGTCTCAGCCCTCCTCTAATTTTCTTGGCAGCAGTCTCCATTTGAATTAATGATTGAACCAAGGTATCCTCTTATATGCTTTTTTTAAAGAGTGCCTCTTATACACTCTTTTTTCAAAAAAAGAGGGCAAAATAGCTCTGTTGCTTTTAGAACAGGCATGGATCACTATTGATTCTTCAGGTGTTGTCAGGACTTTCAGAAGTTCTAGCTAGCATAGCCAGTGATGATTTATTAGGAGAGTTATTATTCAGCAACATCTGAAGAGACAAAAGTAGCCTGGCCATGTTTGAGAAGCTTTTGCACAACCATTGTGGTGTTTGCCCATATAAATCATTGGTACTTCTAGTCATTGGCGCAACCTGACTTGCTTTTTATTCTTGTCTTTTGCTTCTACACATTTCAGCTAAGATTGTTAGGTGGATAGGGGGACAGGAAAGAAAGTACTCAGTGTTGACAAGGACCCTGCTTTTATCTTACCTTATTTTATTTTTATTAATTTTTAACCTGTGTGAACTATCTGTTGCGGGTTATGGGGGAGTAGCATTTCATTTCCTGATGGGGAAACCAAATTATCCACTATCCTTCCTAACGTTTAAAGGCTTTTATGGAGATTATGTGCATCCAGAGTTACCCTATGGTTCAGTGACCCGCTTTCATTCAGTAATGCACTCTGATTAAACAGAATGGATGGCAGAGCCCCAGGAAGTTAGTGATATTGAGGAAGGGCGTTAATGTGAGTATAGCTGAATTCTTATTATTTTTATTTGGGATTCAGAAGTGTGCCGATTCTTACATCTGTATCCTTGTAATTAGTGGTGATGACATTTAGTCACTGATTTGAAGCATTTGGTTAAGAAAGATACCTTTGGGTGTACCTTTACTGTTGCTCTGCACATCATTTCTTATTGGCATTGTAGAACCAAGTCAGCTTTCATCAAGGGTGGGCAAATTATGATGCTCCAGATGTCGGCCATGGCTATGCAGACAGAATAATGCCTCTCAAAGTCACTAGTTCATGGAAGGGTTCTCACAATCCTTCACTATTGCCTATGATGGCTAGTATTCCTGGGGGTTGCCGTCCCAAAACATTAGGAGGGCAACAGGTTAAAGACCTCCACCTTGCTGGCCTGACTCCTTGCCAGAGTAAGCCACCCAATAAACCATTGACTTTGACAGCAGTCAATCCATTATTCTGCCTGTGTTGTGCATACAGAAAAAGTGTTTCTACCCTCCAGAGTAAAAGCTGAATTTATTACTGAGGGAGACAGGGTGATGCTTTTGGAAGCTGGTGTTTAAATAAGAACCCATAGGACATTATTATTATTATTATTCTGAATACCCACATACACACAAACTAATACTGCAGTTTTATTGGAAGCCGCTCAGAGTGGTCGACCAGACCAGATGGGTGGGAAATAAATAAATAAATAAATAAATAAATAAATGCATACATGCATGCATGCATACATGCATACATACATGAATAAATAAATAAATGATGGCTCTAATTATGAACATGACTTATTTCAAGTCAGTCCAAAATGGCAAGATGGAGGGGCAAGTTAAAGTGGCCATGCTGGGTAATGCAGTAGGTATGTTGGCAAATGGTTGCAAATAAGAAGCACTTACAAGCCTAATGGACAGTTGCTAGACAGGAAGGAAGTATGGTTAATCAGAATAAAACAGGACTGTCAGAAATACATATGTTGTTCCCTATAGCCACAGTTTTGAAGTGGACCAACAGAGGTTGAAAAGAGGCCCCATGTTGACTTGATCTGGTACTGGGTTTAGTTATATTAATGTGATCTTTATTGGCAAAAGATGGAGAGTGGAGATACCTGGCTCCTGCAAAAGTGGGATCATAATTTCAGAATTGCAATTTTTCAAACCAAACACTGAGAAGATTATTTTAGGTGACATATGAGGTGCAGAGGATGCTGAACTATGCACTGGATACCAAATTCCACTTTGGTGAAGCTCAATCAAAAACATTCACAGCACTTCAAACTCTAAAATAATTTAGCTCCTGATATAGATCATGAGACTTCTTGTTAAGTGATTGGCTATTAACTATACTAGCTTTTGAGATTTTGTGGTCTGTGCTTTCTGACCAGTATCGCTTATAATGCATTGTAGCAACTTATTCAGGTACCATTTGACCTCTTCTCTTTCAAAGCTCTTGCTGATAATATCCTTTCCTTGCTATTTGAGCTTCCTCTTAAGGCTAATAATGGCACTGTAGAACTCCTGCTGTGCTAGATTGGCAGTGGTGGTGGCATATTTGCTAGCACGTTTTAGACAGAAGCTACACCTGCACTAAACCACAAAGATCTTCATACTAGTCTGAAGATTTTCAAACAACAGCTCATTGTGACAACTGGCTTTGCATTTGTCAAGCAATAGATCAGATCTGGAGTCAGCTTTGCTCCCAGGTATCTGCCCTAAGAAAGACAGTACTACGACCTGTCTTACTGTATTTGACTGATGGAGTGTTTACATGTTTCTTTTCCAAACTCTTGTGTAATCAAATGTCTTCTGATTAAATTGTTTAAAGAGGCCACTGCTGAGCGGCTCTGCATGAAAGAAATGACAAAGTACCAATTTAATAGAAATCACAATAAACAGTTTTGTTCTGATATGGAAATATTACTATATGTTAACCAGCTACTTTTATTCCAGACAGACTTGTGAGAAAAGAGTTGGAATTGATACTGTATTTGAATTGGGTAGGGAGAGTTCAGCCTTTTCTTAGTCTGTGCTCCACAACTGTGTAAGAACAATGCTTAATGCATGGATTAGACTTACAAGCATTTTACATACATGAGCTGAGAGCTTCATTTTGCTGCCTCCTCCAAGGGCAAAAGAAGAGAAAGAGAGTATGTAATTGAATACAAAATCTGTGAATTATTCCACCTGACCTGGATGCTCTGGGCAAATCTTCCTGAATATCTAACACATTCAAAACAGTTATTGTCGTTACATACCATCAAGTCACTTCAGACTTATATTGACACAATGAATGAGTGATCTCCAAAATGTCCAGTCTTCAACAGCCCTGCTCAGCTCTTACGAACTCAAGCCTGTGGCTTCCTTAATTAAGTCAATCCATCTTGTATTTGGTCTTCCTTTTTTCTCTGCTGCCTTCCAACTTTTCCTTCTATTCAGCACTGGTTAGGCCTCACTTTGAGTATTGTGTTCAGTTCTGGGCACCACACTTCAAGAAGGATGCTAACAAATTGGAAAAAGTTCAGAGGACTGCGACAGGATGATCAGCAGGCTGGAAACCAAGCCTTATGAGGAAAGGCTGAAAGAATTGGGCATGTTTAGTCTTGAGAAAAGAAGACTGAGGGGTGATATGATAGCACTTTTCAAATATTTGAAAATTTGTCATACAGAGGAAGGGCAAGAGCTGATCTTGATCATCCCAGAGTGCAGGACACGCAATAATGGGCTCAAGTTAAAGGAAGCCAGATTTCAGTTGAATATCAGGAAAAACACCTTAACTGTTAGAGCAGTACGACAGTGGAACCTGTTACCTCAGGAGGTGATGAGTGCTCCAGCTCTGGAAGCATTCAAGAAAAAATTAGATAATCACCTGGCAGATATGCTTTGATTGTATTCCTACATTGAGCAGGGGGTTGGACTTGATGGCCTTGTAGGACCCTTCCAACTTCACTTTTCTATTATATGATTCTATGATTGTGTTTTCCAGAGAATTCTGCCTCCAAAGTAGGGCAGCCTCAGTTTCAGCATTTTTGCCTCCAGAGATAGTTCAGCCTTGATTTGCTCTAGGACCCCCTTGTTTGTCTTTCTGGCAGTCCAAGGTATCTGCAAAGCTGTCCTCCAGCACCATATTTCAAATGATATTTTTTTCTTGTTAGCCTTCTTCACTGACCAACTTTCACACCCATACATAGTCATTGGGAATACAGGTGGGCACACAGATGATGGACAACATAATCTGGTCATGGAGCCCCTTATAAATATGACAGTCTTACCATCTCCCTCCTATGTCCAAGGAAGTGAACTGGATATGCAAAACCTCACATTAAAATATAGCAGTTCACCTTTAAGATACCAGAGCATTTGTGTCTTGGGTGTTTTCTGTTTTGTTTTGTTTTCTGTCTACTGTGCTTCCACAGACTAACACAGCTACTCCTTTGAAAACTATTCACAGTTGAAGGCATTCTCTAGCATTTCTTCCCCCCCTTTTTTTAACATACTATCTTTGGTGGGGGGAAACCTCAGAAGAGACAATCAGAAAACTCAGAACATAAGCACATTAAAATGAAGTCTGATTTTGGGCAATACTTTTACTGTCAAACTCAGACTTTTTTTGCTAGAAATGGATCATATGGCCTTTTTTGTATTTGCTGCATATTGGAGAAATCTTCATCTGGATCTCCCGTGAACATCTGTGAACGACACATTAAAAGCTTCATCTGCAAGCATCTCAAA